CCTCAAGTGTGCAGAGTGCAGCCAGTACCTGGACGAGACCTGCACTTGCTTCGTCCGAGACGGAAAGACGTATTGTAAAAGAGATTACGCAAGGTAGAGTGCAAGAGTTTTCAGGATTGTTTTTTTTTTTGTTTACTCTCCTTAATTTGGGTTTGGGTTGGTAATAAGAAAACGTGTAGAAAACGGGCTCCTGAGCTGAGATAAATAGCGTTCTCATAAAAACAATTTCCACTTGAAAGACAAATGCGCACGGTGTGAATGAAAGTGCGCAGAAGTGTGCGGCATGAACTACAGACCTTGAATGAGATTCGCACTGAAGGCATTCGCGCTATAACTTTGTAGCGTTTCTGTTTGATTGAAACAAGAAATGAGATCAACGTCAGATTCGTTCAGCCCGCAACATTATACGAGGTACCGCATGAGACCAACGTAGTCTCCGTGCTCCTTTTCAGGTTGTTTGGCATCAAATGTGCAAAGTGTAACATGGGCTTCTGCAGCAGCGACCTGGTGATGAGAGCTCGGGACAATGTGTATCACGTGGAGTGTTTTCGGTGCTCGGTGTGCAGTCGCCACCTCCTACCGGGGGACGAGTTCTCTCTGCGGGACGACGAGCTGCTGTGTCGGGCCGATCACGGCTCGCTGGCGGAGCGGGCCTCTGCAGGGAGCCCGCTCAGCCCGGGGAACATCCACAGCAGACAGCTGCACATCTCAGGTACGGTACACCAAGCGAGCTGTTATTAGGATTAGTATGATTGTAAGGAGAATTATTAGCAGTGATATTGAGTTAATCTTGACTTTCAAAAGTATTTTCCTTTTTTTTAATATTTCCTAGGCAAATTCTAAACAATCGACTGAATAATAACAATAGTGTGTGTGCGTGTATAAGCTTAAAAAATATATATTAAATATCATTTTTGAAAATGTATTGTTTAGTCTGGAGTTTTATATGGCGTCAACGACTTACAGACCCCCACTATTTTTTGTGGGTACAATTGAATGTTTTTCAATTTCATACAGACGGATTTAGGCCTTTTAAGTCCAAGCTATTTGTCGCTTTCATTTCTCAGGCATCAACATTTTTTTCCCTATTTATTTTTAAGATTCTAATTCAACCCCCCCCCTTTTTTCCAGAACCAGTTTCTGTCCGACATCCTCCTCATCACCGCAGCCACGTCCACAAGCAGTCCGAGAAGACCACTCGGATCCGGACGGTGCTGAACGAGAAGCAGCTCCACACCCTGCGGACCTGCTACAACGCCAACCCGCGACCGGACGCCCTGATGAAGGAGCAGCTGGTGGAGATGACCGGCCTGAGCCCGAGGGTGATCCGCGTCTGGTTCCAGAACAAGCGCTGCAAAGACAAGAAGAGGTCCATCCTGATGAAGCAGCTCCAAACACAGCAACACAGCGAGAAAACCGTGGGTGATGTTGTCTTTTATATTTTTAGGGTACAGCTAAAAAAAAAGATAAGGATGCATTATTATATATACTTTCTGAATTCGCCACACCTTATTAGTTTTTATCTTACTCAATATATTGCCCCCTAAAACTAAATTGTCCTCTAATTAAAAATAAATAAATCAACTGTCTGTATGAACGATAATGAGATAATGTTCATGTGCAACGTTATTATCTTCATACGATAAAAAAAAAAAAAGTTGTTAAATGGAAATACTGCCGGATAGAAAACACTGATACATAAACATATTTTATACTGACTATTGAGAATGAAACACGGAGAAAATAATACTATTTGGTCACATCTCACGAGAAACAATATCCTGGTTTTGATTTATTATCATTTTAAATATGCAGGTGGTATATTTTCATGTATCAGACGATCATTGTCAATTTAGTAAGAATGTTGAGCTGAAATCTTTTAAGAATTGAATATTAATTGCATGTTTCACAACAGACCACCTTAAACCAAATGTATCATTTTATTTTTTGCAACATTTAGATTAGATTTCGACCAGGCTCATTAGAAGCGAATGTGCATTCTTACAGAGAAGTCAAAAATGATCATGAAAATAACAATTTTCTTGCACTTTTTCTGGTTGTTGCTCAAAAATGGCTTTTGGTTCCTTTTGATTGATAAACAAAAATATATTATTTACATCGTTATGGCTCACCAGCAGAATGTATTGCGTGGTCAATATCTGGGTGGAACTAACTGCTTCGGTGCTCTTGTAGAATCTGCAGGGACTGACAGGCACACCTCTGGTGGCAGGTAGTCCAATCCGGCACGACAACACCGTGCAGGGGAATCCTGTGGAGGTCCAAACCTACCAGCCACCGTGGAAGACTCTCAGCGACTTCGCCCTGCAGAGCGACCTGGACCAGCCCGCTTTCCAACAGCTGGTACGATGGCAGTCGGGATATTACATTTAAAATAGCTCGTTCAAAATGATACAAAGGGGAATATAAGGCTTTGTTACAATTATATCATAGCAAAGAATAATTCAGATATAATTCGCTTTAAAAGAGGCGCAGCTTGGGTGCGTAAACAATTATTTAATGTTTACGCCTTTGATTTCCCAGTTATTAAAATGCGAACTTGCGCACAAATGTGTATCAACTTTTTGTAGACTCCACGTGGGTCGCTTGCTGACGAGGTCTCGCGGGATTCACGAGCCTTGACAAGTCGATTTGTATTGGCATTTTAAAAAAATGGGCCTGATACTTTCGAAAAAGAACTAAAAAAATGTACCCACGTAGCGGCTCATGAGGACATTCACACGTTCACCAAAGAGTAAATCGGTAAAGAAAACGAGAAAAGATGCCCTCTAAAGCCTCTTAAACCCCTTTTGTTCCGTGCTGCAGGTGTCTTTCTCCGAGTCGGGCTCCCTGGGCAACTCCTCGGCCAGTGACGTGACCTCACTCTCGTCCCAGCTACCGGACACACCGAACAGCATGGTGCCGAGTCCCGTCGACACGTGAAGGCTCCTCGAGGTCGGCCTGTAACCCACCCCCCCCCCACACCCACCCATGCGCGCACCCGCGCCCGCTGCAGGGGACGCGCACAGACCTCAGTGACATTTAATCAGAGAAAAACGAATTAAAGGACCAGGGCGGATTATACTCGAGGAGATACATCCAGGTTACACACTGGAGGATGGGAGGTCTGACTATTCCCTTCAGTTTAGCCATTTTAGCTCACCGTCTTGCGCAAGGATACTTCGGCCGGATCCCCAGCTGGTGATGGACATCATGGGTTTTTGAGACCTTCTACCATGATGCCAATGCTTGGACGGGCCGAAACATGCTGAATGTGTAACGGGATTTAAACACATTGTGCTGAAATGGACTTCTGAAGGTCACAATGTTTATGAGGAACCAAATTGTCTAGATATGCATGATTTGTTTCAATATTGACAATATTGACTTGTAAATGAATGAAACAGGAGCGATGTGCATTGTTCGCGTTTTCTCCAGGAAATAAGTTATTATTATTATTTATTATGACGACAGACATAGCCAATCTTATCAATAAATCCATAAAATTGAACTGATTATTGCATGCAATATTCCATTTGTTCTGTAAATCATAAGATATTTTCTTATCATTATAGTTTGCGAAATAAATCAGTTTTGAGGGGAATTAAAAATCGAGTCTTGAAGTGGTGGAGCTCCGCTGTTTTATATATAAAAGTTGCATTTTAATCTAGACTAAATATCAAGCTATACCGTGCCTATATGCCTACAGTTCATATAATAAATGAATACATATATACGTTTGGGGGATTATAAAATGAATATTGAGGTATTTTGTCAAGTTCCGTTCTGTCTGCGAGCCTTAGCAAACTAAAGCCTCAGGTAAAGGCCCTGCTTATATTTTGACCTGCTCAGTTTCTGAGCCAAGTGAATCAGTGACTGATGGCCCCTGGGTCAAAGGTCGTTTAAGCCATGGGCTGAGGTCTCTTCGGTTCGGGCCCTCACGTGATTATAGCTTTCTTTTGGAAAAGCCCGTAAGTCTGTCTGCAGCAGATTTCGCATAAAATCCTCGCGCCAGACCGATAAAAACGATCAAATTGGTGTTATTTAGACAAATGTCACAGCGGCTGGCCAACGCGAGGCCCACGGTTACAAGTCTAGACACGGGACAGCCAGCGTCGGCCGCTTATCTGCATCTGGCATCACCTGCAAAGGATACACTGAATGGACCCAAAACAAAACGCGCGGCCGGCGCAGCGCTGCCGGGACTCTCAGCGCGCCGACGCATCCTGGCGTGTCTGGAGTTTATTTTCATTCCTGCAGGAATCCTGGACGGCAAATAGCCGCTGGACAAGAGAGCACGCAGGTCAAGCCGGGACTGACACACTACACCTCCGCAATTTGTTGGGGAGGATCGCCTTCTATCAGTGAAGGAAGTGCAGACGCGTCCTCACGACGTGGTGGTGCGAGTCAATGTAAGAACTTTAAGCTGCAAGTGGAAGTGATGATTGGAACTGTTGATTTTGAAAAGGTAGAATATATTTAGAGTTAATATATTAAGCAGCTCCCAAATTTTCAACATCAACTAACTTTAGTAACTTCATTCTAAAAGGAGAAACGCCGGACAATTGGTGAAACGAGCAGTTTCACTCTGTGGAAAATACGAAGGACAGTTTTTATTTTAATTCCCATCAAATCCTTCAAATCTGTTTCTAAATATTGCCTGAACAAGCTGGTTGATTGTCTGCCTGGGGCCAGATTAATGGTGTAATGAAGCATTTGGAATACAAAAAACTTCTTTGACTAAAAGCTATTAATAGCTTTAGTATAATGCAGGGTACAGACGATGGCTTCCTCTGGATAAACTAAATATTTTTTATAAGAGTGTCCGTTTATGGGGACATCAAGGGCATTAAAGCAGATTTAACAACAGCTCATATTCACATTTCTTTGAGATTTAGTAATCTAATTTGTTATATTTGCATTTGTCCAAAGACTAAATAAGGGAATCTTCATTATTCAAGTTCATGAGAGTAACTGACAGAAAATGCACCAAGAGTCACCACCAAGTGTTCATCTTTGTTATATTTCAGTCACGATATCAATTTAACAGTTTACACTGATTAAAAGTGAATTACAACAATGGACAGGCATATTTATTATATTTAACATGAAGGTAAATAACTCAATAAATTATATTAATATTTACGTCTGCCTCCTAATAGAGATAAAGAAAAGAAAAAGATGTGAACTTGAAAATATAATCCTCAGCTGACCATCAAGGCTGGTATTCTAAGAAATAACATTCTGGCCATTCAGAAGTAGCCAAAGGCAATATATTAAACACAAACAGTTTTTATGAGACACGTGGCAAATAATAAATTACAGTATAAGTAAATGTTTTAGTTCTAGATGGTGACTGCTATGAAATGGATCTTTTTTCCATCTTAAACAAACATAAGGCCTGTATAAACATTAAATGGAATAGTTTGTTTTCTGAATGCAATGGACAAACAACATATTTTGTGCAAATAATCACAAACATCACACTGATTTCAAAGAAATGAAAACGGATAAACCAACACATGATAAAGCTTCACAATCTTTACAACTGAACATCCAAAGAAAACTTTGGCTCATGTGCAGACTCCAAATTAGGAAAAATTCACACAAATTCACACCGTGCTTATCCATCCTGAAGACGGTGTAACTCCCTCACTCTTCCGGCTTTTTGAGAAAAAACTGCAGCGCTGAGTCCCACTGATCTCTTGGAAAGCGGTTAGACAACTTGTGGTAATCCAGCAGCTGGGAAACTGTAGATAGACAGAAAAAAAACAACTTCATTGCAATGAGGGAACAATAGAAACCCTTTAAAACCCATTAACAATCAACCACTGTTAGACGTAATGTCAATGACAATTAGTAACAATGAAAACAATGTAACTCATTAGAAATATTCAATTTGATCTTGGAACAATTAGGTTTGGACATTAGGCGCTGCCCATTTAAGACAATAGAAATATGAAAATCATACAATCAATCCAATTACTTGTTATGCATTTGATGAATAACTTACCGCTGTGCTTTATCTTGTTGTCCGAATCTCTCTCATTTGCAGCAGAGTCCTATGGAAACGAACACAAGCATAACAGTGTACTGCAGGCACTAATGTTGTACAATTTAATTGGTCCTATCGACGAATAATTAAATCATCATACGGGATCAAACTCACTCCGAGGAATGTTCCTGAGGTTAACTCAACAATGAGGGCAGCGGGGCAGGACGCCATGCATTATTGCTTTGTTTGAAAGAAATGACAATAGCTGGTCTCCCTTTGAATGGCAGTTAATCGGTGTCTAAACAGTGGTGGTGCAGAGTGGTGAGGGGCGGGTTGTCAGTGGAAGACGAAGGAGACAGGCTGTTTACTGGGAGTTGAACCAGTGGCAGGTAAATCCACCGTGAGGGAAGCCATTTATCTTGGTAAAAGCCGCCCTGTTACAGATTCACAAGAGCCAAGATGAGCAACTGTTCATCAGCTGAGCCCCGAGACTGTTCCCTCCCCCCGTTTTCATTTCATCCACAGGCATGTGGAAAAATGCCCAGCCAGAGAGGATGTTTTGGATCATTAGCGTGTTCTTGATCGTGTCATCTTATCGGCTCGGGTATTTCAAAACGCTGGACTGTTCACTTACTGGGTGCAGACCGGTGGTCTATTCCTGTACGAGACGCGGCGTCCATGTAGTTACCTGAATGAATGTGGCCAGCAGGACGCAGCTCATCTCCTGCTGCAGGATGGCCTTGTTTTGGGAGTTGTTGTAGCAGGCCGAGATCAGGGAGGGGAAGAGCACTCTGATGAGGCACGGTTGGCTGAAGTACTGGAAGGGCAGCTGACACAGTTTCTGCAGCACGCTGGGCTGGCGGCCAGACTGCACTATCACCTGGAACACACATGCGGCAAGGCCAGTCAGTCACTGAGCCGGTCAGGCGGCCAGTCAGTGGCACTGGCGGTCGTAAATCACCGCACTGTCCCTCCCACATGTAAATCTGCCACTAAAACAACACACAGGCAGCCATTAGGAGGAGACCTGGGGGCCACAGCCTCCCACCGCGCAATTATGGGCTATAAAACACCAGAATGGGATGTTTTGTTCTTCCTTTGTACCAACAGCACCGGCAGAAATGCTGTTCCATGAGAGGGAGATGTCATGTCATTATCGGCGGTTAAAACTTCACTTTCGAGTTCTGCGTTCAAGCTCTCCGAGCAACAGCGGAGCAAAGGATCAGAGAAAAAAGCTTGATGCAGCCCCGTCAGAGGGGAGCTCAGGTTGAGAGGGCATTCAAAGTGCAAAAGAGGGAACGGAGGGGTGGGGCGGCGGGTGAAAGGCAAACCTCCGCCGACAGCGTGGCCACCCCCCACTTTGAGAAATGAGCAATACCATTAATGGTATTTTCACCCTGCCGACGTCCTGCTCCTCATCACGGCCTGTCAATCTCACACACGCCATCACATCCGGGCCACCAGCATTAAAAGCCAATCCCTCCCAGCCTTATTTGATTAGAAAGGGGACTGCTGCAGATGAGGGGGTCCCGGCCTAATGCTCTGGCCACCTCCCCAGAGCCTGAGAAGACCATGAGCACCTCTCGGAGAGCCAGGGGGTCAGCATGCTAAATCCTGGCTGGAGAAAGAAAAAAAGAGAGAGAGGAGGCGGCACTACTTTACAGTTACAGACTGCGTGACTTGTGGGGAGTGGGGGGTCAATGCCAATAGAAACCAGAAGGGCAAGGTGAGGTCCCCGAGTCACGGTGACATAAATTCACAAGATTTACAAGATTTTAAAAATACGCTCTCTAATACTCTTCCATTGGCTTCTCCTTTGATAATGCACTCCAAGTTTCAACAGCAGGATAAACAAGGCGATAACTCATCGCTTTTATCAGTCCGAGGTGAAGCTTCTCAGAGCTGCCCTCTACAGCGGCGTTCAAAGGGACACAAAACAGTGCCACTTCCTATCATCCTTTGTTTAAAGGATCCATATGGGTAGGTCAAACAATATGAACTTTAACGCAAATACAAATGCTTGCGGAGAGCACCGAATTTGTCAACGTGGAATATGAGTGTAGATTTTCGAAGCGAAGGGAGCGCGATTCCTTCTCGGTGTGTGTTTCACACTGCTGTGGTGAATTAAATTATAGTCTGGAGTACATTATTAAGATGTAAACCGCGCCGCGAAGATGTGTGCGCAACAGAGAATAAAATCCCCGGTTTCACTGACTCATTAAGTGTTTTTCACAAAGGAATGTGGGACAAATTCAGCCACTCACGGGGGGAGTAAGAACAGAAAGACAAACTATCTGTTCTCAAACGTGGAACGCTTTTCCCCCCCTCCTCCACTTCATGGAGTTCTAGCATTTTCCTTCAAATCCTACATCACGGCATTTATCTGGTCTGTTGCAACATGGACAAACTGGCACTGGGGAGGGATCGATGCAGCTGAATGAATCAGGAAGCTAAAGAATATATTCATCTGGGGGTCTTAATGCAGAATATTTATGGTTTAGGTATCATAATTTAACACCAAAGCAAGTGTTGGATATTTGAGCCGGGGGGCTCGGAGAAGATCCCACCCACAAATCACCCGGCGATCTCATAATCCTCCGCTACACGCAGTTCCATCTTCAGCTGCCTAAACAAATTGTCCACCCCTCAAGTGCCCGCCGACGCAGAGAGACATAAAACAAACCTGGTGGCAGGAAGAGTATTGATGTTGCAGAAACTCCAGTCTCCTGCCAACTTTCCACGCCTCACCCAGGTGAAGGGCAACACCAGGGCCCGAGAAAGCTTTCCAGCTGGAGATTATGCCCCTGCGAGCTCAGCTGAAGTATCTGCAGCTTAAGGCCTGACATCATAAAACTAACAGCGAGCATCTGAACCTGCGCGTCTGGCTCGTGTAGTAAAAACTCAAGGGCCTTGGCTGTTCTTTCTTAAGTTCAGAGACCTGGCGTTTTCTTCTCAAACAGTGCAGAGTTTTATGACACCTCCGTTACATAACTTCCCCACTGTCCACAATGACAACAAAGAGTGTGTAAAGTTAACGTTCTGAAACGCAAACAAAACTCTCGGGGGACAACCCAGTGTCGAAGACAAAAAAAACAAAGCTAAAGCAGATGTAAGAACTGGGGGGGGAAAAGCGTGGAGCAAAGCACAATATCAAGTAGCATAATGAAGCTGCAGCACCGCCGGGCGAAGCAAATGTATGAACCTCATTCATTCCTAATCCCTCGCAGACGCAACAGTCTTGGAACGTGTAGACGAATCTCCATTCACAGCAAAGCGTCTCGTCAGCTCGAATACCTCAGAAAGAGCCGGCGTCAGAGCGGGGTGGAGGTGGGGGGTACAGGGGGGGGCGTATAATCCGACGGTAAACCCGCAAAACAAACCAGATCCATCAGGGTGGAACCGCCCCCGCTGATAAGACGAGCGGCACAGCGTGCGCCACAAAATGTGGACAGCCCAGTGACTCGCCGGGGGGGGCCCCTTTACAACGTTTCCAATGGCCGACTGAGAAGCGCACAGGACGCTGCGTAAATCACCGTTGGACAATCAGATGCTGGCGAGCCAGACATTGACATAGAACCTCCAACTTGACTTTTAAGGCAATTGTCGGTTGTTTTAAAATCCCATAAAAAAAAAAAAAAAACCCTGCCGTTTACACAATGAAGCTTAATAACTCTTTATTTATCTCTATGAGCCGACGCTGTCATTCCACCCCAGATCTCCAGCGCAGATAACACTTCCCCAAAACTAACCTGATGACAGTGTTACAGACAAATGGAAACTCCTCTCTGAAAAGGTCTGCAGGGATAAAAATGTCCTCAGCTTCACTTAAAGTCCGTTGGACCTGCGCTCACCCTTGAAGCGGAGTGTAAATCATCTACCGGGTTAACAATCAGGGCCCCTCCTGCCAGTCAGCAGGGAGCGCGTCTGTCTGTGTTACCCAGCCTTTGTTTACTCCGCTGGGTGACACACAGTGTGCATTCCCTGGTGCTGGCTCCCTACGGTCTGCACGAGCTGCACTTACCCCGCAGGCAGCGAGGGCTTGGCTGTAATGGGACGGCTGAAGGGAGCGTTTCAACATCGGGTAAACAGGAATTACAGGCCCGGCGCTCGGCCCGGGGGCCTTCGGGGCAGAGGGAACGCCCTCGTAGAGAAGGGGAAGGGGAGCAACGACCCCACGGATGAGGCTGAGCTCTGAAGATGCGCGTGGGATGTGAAGTGTAAAAGCTCTGGTGACGGTTTATGAAAAACAAGCACAGAGGAGTCAGGTGACCTCAGGAGATGGTCCAAGGAACACGACTAGTTATGATTACATTTCTGAAAGGTCGCTACCTAAAATGAGACCCACGTCTACAGGCAAGTGTGTGTGTTTCTGTGTGTTGCTCCCTCTGCTTGCGTGTCTATGGCAGATTTTCCATGCGCTGAAAAGAAATGAGAGGTTTTCTTATGATTTCCACACACACTCACATTGCTCGTGTCTTTCTAAAGGAGCGAGCGGGAATCAGGTGGGTTAACATGTCAACAGTTTGCAATTAAAACCTCGTCAGCTCGAACGCTCAACAGATCATCACCAAGCAGGATTCACAAATGAATCACTGTATTCGTAGAGGAGATTACCGGCTCACATCTCTTCAGGCGAAAAAGGAAGTATTGTTACTTGTCAGTTGCAAAATAGGTGTAATTTGTTCCGTTTGATCTTCTTTTTTTTTTTTCTTCAAAAAGGATCTCTAGGGACACACCCGAGAGACAGAGAGACATATGGCTACACGGCTCGCTCGCCCCCACAAGCAGTGACACACAGGCCTATACATATGTTACTCTGCCGATGGCTTTTCGTGTGACAAGGTGAATTATTCATGCCCCCGGAGCAGAGGGAATACATCACTACTTATACTGCTGCTTCAAAGCTCTGCTTTTTATGAGCAGCCTTATTTCTAGATATTTATATATTTGTGTGTATAAACAAAAGCTGGCGTGCCGACAGTGAATCAGCAGTCTCACCAATGCACGGGCCTCGGCTCGGGCTGCTTTTGTGTTCTGCCAATGCTTACATTAGCCTGAGAAAAGCTCAAGCTGCTCTAAATATTCCCCTTAACGCCATCCATCTTGGTGCGGAACTGAGTGGACGCATTCCAGGAACTGGACCACTGGCAAAGATCAACTCTGTGTGGACCTTCTGTGGGATCTCGTTTCCTGACAAAATGTACCACAACATGATATTTCTTTTAAACTAAATCCTTTACTCGTAAGCGAGTGAAAGGATTTTTGTTTTGTTGTTGCTTTTTCACAAAACGTTCTTAACGGCAGCATCAAGGTTGTAGATTTTGCGTCACATTAGCAACATGTTTTTTTTTTTTTCACCAAACACAGTCAGGCGTGACCGCCCTGTTAACGTCGCCCTGCGCGTTCAAAGGAGAATCATCTGTCACCCGCTTAATTTAATCTTATCGTGCTCATTCAATTATTCAATATAATATGCAAATTACTTTCTAAAATGACCAACAGATGCTAATTCTATAAATCAGAATAATTAAATTGCATAAGACTGGAGGAAGAGCCTTTAATTACAAGGACAAATCTGGTAAAAGAGAATCAGTGATCAGCCTATAAATAGTTCTTATCGGGGCTGACTGCTGCCGTTCGGCATGATATATTTTATATATACATATATATCAGTGATATCAGTGGTTTGAGACGGAGGCTGTGGCGGCTGCCTGTGTGGGTCAGGATTTAACATAATCAAAGCCCAGCCAACTGTAGCATGGCTAATCAGGGGCCCGGTAGACGGGCCATGCATGACAGCCAATTACACAGCAGCCAGGCCTGCTCCATCATATCCTGCTGACTTCCACAGAGCCACTAAGTAGTTGTAGCACCGGGGGCCAGCACGCCGCTCTGCTTTACCAGGAAGCAGCAACGGTCACTATGTGGTACAATGGGCGGCACACGGACCAAAAGCAAGAAGGGTGCCAAGTCATGCATCTTTGAACAGGTGCTCTTTTCCTGACAAATGATACATGAAGTGAGCAGCGGTGATATGATAGAACCAGGCTCTTCCTCACTCAGATGTCAAGTGACATAAGGAAATGTAACTCGGTCTGAAACCATTAAACATTTTAAAACAATTAGCACAAAATGCACAGATTGCAATTCGATTAAATTATTGTGTAAATTATTTCTGAAAAATTAAGCAGATGGATGCTTTACTTGAACAAAAAATATGATAATAAAAGATAAAGAACTAATACATTTCTGAATTCCATTTCAATTATGCTCTATGCTTCCTTATGTATAATTGACTGAGTATTTTAGGGGTTAGGAGTGTTGATTGGACAAAACAGGCAATTTCTATCAATTTAAGTTATGTGGGACTATCAAAATTAACAATCAACAACAGGGATTAAACAATAACCAAAAATGAGGAGATTTCTTTCTTCTTCTTTTTTTATCTGACCAAATGTTCATTCATTTCTATGCAGTCAGCAGGTGTTCAAGCCGGTTTACCTGGTTGTCCGTGTGGTTGACAGTAAAGTATCCCACGCAGATGATGACTTCGTGCAGAAGATCTTCAGAGGAATGCTGGGTACAGTACCAGAGCAGCGAGCTGACGATGTGTCTGAAAGCTAGAGACAGGCCTTCGGCTCCTAGAACAGACTGACGGGTCGGAGACATGTTAGCGCGTTTCACACTGAATTAAGCATACGTCCTCGCCCACTGTGAGTACAAAGAGCTCAACACCATGAAAATACAAAGTATTGAATGACAATATATTTAGCTGGGAACATGGTGTAAAAGTATAAGCAACTCAAGTGGAGTCCCAGCATAAAAACAGCCCAATCCCGCTGACAAATAGGAGCAGCTCTGAGACAGTATTTAAAAAACACGTCAGTGTGACGGAGCACTATAACACAGCATTGTAACATCCATGAATGCAAGCCATGATAACTTTATGTATTAAAGAAAATATCCACCCCAATTTTTAATTTCTGAAAAGAAAAACGGAAAACATTGCTCAGATGTGAACCATTTTTTTGTCTCCCTGTTATTCACACTCCCTGAACCCATTTCAAATTCCTTTCTAAACAAATTATTGGGAGCATTAACGGCCTAAATTCAGATCATCCATCCCCGGCAACACTTATTAGCCGGTGCTATGCAGGTAATGTGAAACACAAGGTGATTACAACCCCGAAGCATTATTTAAAATGTTCATAAAACTGCGGCAGGGAAATGCTTTCATTTCCAGCTGTTTTGAGTTGCCCGAGTGTGGTGGGTCAGGGAAAGGAAGCCGCTTCAAAGTAATTACCGCAAGACATTAAAATAATTAACAGCATTCTCGCTTGGCTCTCGTGGCTTTCCGTCTATGTGGTGCCTTGGAACAGTGAAGCTGTCGCCCCCTCCTCTTCAGGGTGGGTAATGTACGGCCCCGCGTACAATGATAATCACTCGAGCTCCATCCTAACTGCTGACCCACCGGGCTCAATTCAACCCCGGCCACCGACCCGGGGTCAGAGGGCAGCCGTGTTTATGTCCACAGGTCAGCTTTGTCTGTAGGAGAGGGACTCCTCTTCCACTGGCTCTTAACAAATTAACTAGCATCAGTTATTTTTTTATTAAATCCAGGGAAGATTATTTAAATATTTGTTTTTATATTTTACCCATTCAAACAGCTCTTTCTAGTATATAGTTAAAAAAAACATACAAAAGGTACTAGCTATTCCTTAAAGAAACATGTACCGTGAATGTTCATCAGTAAAATATATATTGTATAATAATGTATCTACAATACATAAAAATGCTCAAAGAAAAGTCAGTCACTGTAAAGGAAACAAATATATCTTTGAGCTTCTGGAGAAATCTGCTTGATGTTTTTACGGATTTTTACATTTGTGGAAGAGAAAGCCGTATAATTCTGAATGGTACCTGAAAGGCTGATAGGTTCAGCTGGGCAAAACTGTTGAGGAAGCTGATGCCTTGCAAAGCCACCTGGATGACCCCGGGGCTGTACGGTTCCTGACTCTGGGAAGAAGACTCTGGCGAGAAGCTGTGCAGCAGGATACAATACAGAGTGTGCACCACTCCCACCAGGTCTGTGGACTGCAGCAGGGCCGTCAATCCAGTCGGGTCCTGGCGTTTATTGTCAAATATACTGGGAGTCCTGGAGAGGAGGAGTGGGTGTGGTCAGCAAAACCAAAAATAAATGCTACGTGTTCATAAATAAAGGAATAAATAGCCACGGATATCATACGAGATAACCATTTGTTACATTTAGATCATTATTTGTGCATTCATGCAGCTTGTGTCGTGAAAAGAAAGAGACCTCGGCGGCCTCTAGATTTACTCACCAGACAAGGGCTTAGACGACCTTCCCTTTAGATAAGAGATACTACCCTGTTGGTGCGGCTACATTACCTGACATAGCTCACTGCAGTGAGTGTGAGCACAGACTTTAACACAGGAATGCATATTGACATTTATCAAAGCTGCTCCTTGGGTCCGTCTTAGGCACCCCATGTACTTCTGTTTAGTTATAGAATAATAGTTTTTCAGTCTTTGCGAAGAGCTTTCAATCCGTTTCCCCCTTTTTTTAAACTTAACTTGTAAAATTCCCAGCCAGACAGTTTGGGTGCCGCTGAGTGGGACGGTTAAGATTGTCTCTTCCGCTCCCTCTCAGGCTACAGTAAACATAGTAATGCCATGACGTGAAGCTCATGGCAGCTACTTGAATCTGGCGGATGTACAGAGCCGCCTGACAAGGCGCTGAGTGCTGCAGCACATTTAATCAAGGCTGTCCTGAGAGGACTCAAGGCGATTTGTTTGTTTAGTTACGACAACATGCTACCTTGTTGGATAAGGGATTGGTAATATTATGCTTTCATTGAACCTTAAATAATAACGGGAGGAATAATTCTGCTTGGAAAGAGGAGGTACGTTATAAATAGTTGCCGTAAGGGCCTCAGTTAAGTTACCGCGTTTTAAAGATTTATCATTCAACGAGCTTCAAAAGACATTTAGTGAAATAACCATTGCAAAATTTGAACAACTTGAAATACGTGTAAAAGTATAATCTAATCATATCAGCACTAGCGGCGTGAAGTACACCACACATTCAAATTCACAGCCTAATTTTGACCCAAAAAAAAAAAAATCATTGCAGGTTTTTTTAAGTGAGAGAAATGGAAGCAACACGGCTATTAATTATTTACAGTAGCAACGCAGATGACTCAAGTGCAAACATTCAGCTAGTACACACTGACAATCGAAGACAACCGAGAGAGGAACTTTGGATACCAGCTATGATTTGCAGCCATGTAGAAAAGAGGGTGCGTGACCTCTGGATGGAACCTACAGCGCATGCTGATACTTGATGTTAGCCAACAGGCTCTGCGTGAAATATGCTGTGAGGCAAGAACACAGCCTCCTAATGCCATTATAATCCCCTGACACAGCAACTGGCATGGCCAAAATATTCTTCAAGCCCATTGAGCGTCCTTATATACTTGGGAGAGGTTTGGCAGAGCGGAGCTCGCTGGCTGCTGTATTGATCACAACCTTAGTCTCATTAAACCTGCAAAGTCTGACACGATGTTCTCTCGCAGACATTCAGTGACAAACTACCGAGGCCGTTTTCTCCTTTGCTGGTGAGAAGCAGCTGCTCGGCGTTACTGCGGCACCTTGCAGCTGGCAAGGTACCGCGGCGCACTGGGCGACACTTCAAATGAAGTGAGAAGATTGCGGTGCGCTGCCAAGTGGTGGGGTCCATTTGAAAGAAAACCAAATTGGCTCGAAGGACACCTAGCTTCTGCGTGACAACGATAATGCGATGAGCTTATCGCTATTTAAATGTTGTAGTAATGCACAGCATCAAAGCGGGTCTCCTTGCTACCGTGGTCGGCATTTCATTTCCTTTTAAGAGAGGAACTTTGGATACTGACGTCCCTTGGTGTGACTGTGTGTGTCGCCTCTGTCAGCGGCACCGCTGAACCTCAGTGAATGGAGGTCACTGTAACACACGTGGGTGGGCTCCCCCCACGCTGCAGGCTAAGGTTTATGGTGAGTGACAGAGCACCGGGTCAAGTAGATGCTATCTCTATCTGAAGGAACGACAGCTTAGCCAGATCGCTGGCTGGAGGAAACGACCTGCTGGCTGATTGCGGAGCCGCCACAGTTTTTGTTTGAGCAACCAGGATTCCCGTCTCATCAGGCTCGATCATTAGGCGCACAGGGGCAAGTCAGTGTGTGTGTGTGTGTGTGTGTGTGTGTGTGTGTGTGTGTGTGTGTGTGTGCGTCTGTCGGAGGAAGAGCAGGAGAACACGTTCGATGTTTAACGCGTGTCGGGGAAACGCTCACCGTCCGGTTACGACGAAACACAGCTTACAGCACAGCGTACACATGCTGTGCAGCAGAGCCGAGGCTTGCTGGAGGAAAGCAGAGACCTTCGGCTGCTCGTCTACGGGACCTTGGATTGACAGGAAACACCCGTACAGCTTGTCAATCAAACCCATGTTTACGACGTAGCTGGAAGACACACAGAAAAAAAACATGCAGGGGTTAATATTCATTTCCCTAATTTACTTTGCTAGACTTCCTTTGAAGAAAGCTCACCTCACAGAGGCAAACAAAGGCCTTTACTGTGCATACTTCCACAGCACTGCAACTGAAAACAGATACCCCACCTAAGCCCTCCACCCCCTGCTATTACTGCGATATCTCCAATTTGTCTTTGCCAATGACAGGTCTCATGATCATGTTCCCTGTACTCTTTCAGCCACAAATCACTGCTAATAGTGTCATTAGGGGGCTGTTGTGGCCCCCGTGCCAGCCTAGCTCTGGGGCCCCTGACAGTGGGCCGTCATCTCAGTGCCCCGGTATGCTCGCACCTCCAGGCTCCTCTCAGGCACAGCTCAAGAAAATCTATACGGCTCTATAAGCTGACAATCAAGGCTTTCTACCAGCTGATGTGGTCAGTGCGAAGATGTAGGTCGTCCTCTAATCACTGTCTCGACTCTTAGCTTCTTTCAAATACCTTTTTTGTTAGAACTGTCACTCACTGAGGTCCTCTCAAAACAGGTGATTACGACCGTTTTCAACCTACACTGCAGGTCATCTGACACTTGAACCAAGCCCCATTGTTTTGACTTGATCCTCTTCCACAGCTTTAGGTGGGTTGAAAGGATCTTTCCTCACACTGACTGCTTTGTGCATACCGGCTCTCTTTTTGACAGCCTGCCTGGTGGTCAAACTTGCCACTCGGTGTGTCTCAACATGTATAACAATGATAGGGAACGAAAAGACGGGCGAGACTGGTAATTAAGAGGAAAGGAAATGGCGCTCTCGTGTCCATTGGATATATGGGTTTGCGTAGTGGGAGAGTGTTGCAAAAGCTAAAAATGTTTTTGATCCCCCCCCCACTAGCATATACATTATAAAAGGCAGTTGAGGTAAATCTTGTGTGCTCGTACTTGGGATTACCAGTCTGACGACACCATTTTTTTATCAGGCCCTCCCCTGTCTCCAGGGTTACGACTGGGTCAGTGGATGAGAGCGGTGGGCCTGTGCAGCTGCTCTGTCCAGATGAATAACTACTTGTGGGAGGGGTGGTGGAAAGACTGCACTCTTCCACGAGGCTTCATCAGGCCGGGCCTGCCTTTCCTCACAGCCCACATTTCTCCAACCCAGCCCCAACTTCTACAGCCCAGACCCACATGGCTAGCTCCAACGCCAGGTTCAAGGAGGCCTTTCAAAGCTTGGGAAGTGCTCTTTGTTTATGCTACTTTGTGCCCTCCCCCTAAAATGGATTTTACTTGAAATGCGGCGCTGAATGTGTGGAAACAGTACAAGCTGGAAGGATGCCAGAATACAGCCTCATTCTCACACTGTTCCCAATCTAACAAGACACCAGTTGCGCCATTTCCAAGAGATCCGACGTTTGTAAGCCAATTCTTTACATAACGCACGCTGTTGACGATATCACAGGTTGACCGACTCTCAACCCAGCAAAGAGGAGCGGAGGAGGGACTTATTAAAGACGGTAAAAAGGTCGGAAAATGAGAAAAAGATGTACCATGTCGGAAGAGAAACAGTGTCAGTACAACAGTACGTAGGAAGGAAAATACCTGATTAGGTCTTGAGCGCGAGTGTTAAAGGACTCTGCGACAGAGCTCTTGACCTTGGCATCCGGGGAAAAAATCAAGGTGTTTTTGTCTTTGCCAGGCTCAGAGTCATCCGGCCACAGGGTCGCTAAGATGGCGGCGATGGTCTGCAGCAATCCTGCCGTCAATCCCTCAAAGACTTGTTTGTTCACACTGCGGCCGAAAATAGATTTGTCCTCATCTGGGACGTATAGCTGCAAGAATGGAAGAAAATGTATGTTACCGACAGCATACTATACAAGGCAATCCATCCAAATGGTGCTCTTTGATGAACCCTAATGCCCGCATGCAGAAATCTGAACAAATGTATCCAAATGCCATTAGACACAATATCAACAGTGTGGGATAAACAAGAGAGGTCCATCGAAGGTTAATGAGCATTTAACACAGAGGCTAATATTAAATGTTTTTGCATGGCAAAATTATTTTCTCACATTCTCTGCACAGTAAAGTCAGTTAATTGCCAAAAGGTAGCAGAATATACATTTGTGTTGTTTGTTACACCTACAGAAAAAAGGCATTTTCTCCGCCACACACAGACACACTGGTCTAAACAAGCCACGATGTACCGAGAACATATTACGTGGGGACATGAAGAAGCCCAAATAAAAGGAAATTAAAAGGTGTAGTCAGCCAAGTTCAACACACAAGCAGTGGGCCACGTTTCAAATATAGTGCTGCTGCGCAACGTGGAAAACCTTAACTTCTACTCATTTGGTCTGATGGTTGGGGCGCATGCTGACAGCAAAGGTAAATCCACCGACATTCTCCACAAATCTAATTAAAAGGGTACATGCTCATATGGCAGTGCAACCCCCACTGCTTTACTCTATTGCTTACACACATGCATACCAGAACACAGACATACACACTCCGTGAAGCAATAAAAAAAAAAGAAAAAAAGAAAGAAAGAAAGCTCTGCGGTATTTGAAAACGGTATTGTCTCACTTGTAAATTGGATTATAATTTATCAAAGCACGAATAGGTTTTGAGCCCAATTATTAATCTGCATTGGACACACGTAGAACAGCAAGTTTGTCTCCTGCAGTGCTGTTGGATATGTCAGTCAGCAGAACAGCTGCCGGGATATGTTTCATATAAACTCGACCAAACAGGCTAACCTCTCCCTGTGCGCCCTAAGGAAATATGACTTCTTTGGATTGGAACTCACTCGCTGGAGGAGGAGGCCCCAGAAGAGTTCATGCATGTACCACAAGCGTGTGCGCCTGTGCCTTGTCCTGTCTGTGTTGTGAGTGTAGGCGGCCCCGGCGAGCAACCACCGTTAGATGTTTGGAGCGGGCTGATGTTTACAGTCCTTCTTACAGAGTGCTGAAGGATCTGGGCTGACATGTCGCCGCAATGCAGCCTGCCTGCCTGCGTCCTCACATTCCCTGATAGGAGGCCTCAGCGGAGAGGCCGGGCAAACGCTTTGTTAGCTTGTGTCTTGCTCTGTCTTTCATTAACACTGTAGCAGGAACCCACACTAGCAAAAAGGCAGCGGTCAAAGCTCTGTATATCAACGGATTAATGTAACGAAAACAAGGGAGTTGTGAATGTGTGGCTTTGCTAGAAATACTTGATCACGCCTTGAATAGCCTTTATCTAAACACATCCAAACGATTTCTTCACATTTACTGGACTCTATAGAAATTAAAATAACAATACTGGCAGAAACAAACCATACTGAAAATGGTCTTTTGTGCTCTTTGACTTACTGTTAGCTGATGCAGCAGCAGGTCCATGAGGAGAACGATCTTGTTGCTGAACAGCACATCGAAGCAGCTGGCGGGGCAGTGGGAACATGCCAGGTAGTAGGTGTGTACAGCAGCACAGAGCGATCTAACACAGAATGATGACGACAAGTGGTTATTGATGAGCTCAAAATGTCAAAATGAAAAGAAACACACCTTCATGCAGGCTGCTACTCCCCCTACAATCCGTAAGCTAACCAGTAATACGGGGATGCAAATGTCTCCCCTTTGGGCAGCGACGGGACTAGTTGCAGTCATCAGGAAACCAAACACACTCCTCCGTATTTGTGGTTCCTTAAGGGTGCAGTTTGTCTTGGCAAGTCAAAAGCATATCTCACTGACAGCGCTAGTAAGGGAGCCAGTTTGGGGAATAAAACACTCATATCAGCTACTTATGTGGAGACCCCCACCCCGCACTACAGGCACCTCCAGAGCAGCTAAGCGCAATCTCGCTCCCATCTTTGGCTGAGATGGCTCAGTATTTCCTCCTGAGCAGATAGCACTACTCCGCTCAGCAGCTTCCCGGTCCTAAAACAAGCCCCAGAGAAGATGAATGCTTCAGATAACTGGTCATCCTTCTGCTGCGACTACTACTCCCCCTCTCATCACTTAATATTTTCTGACAACTGTATATTTTAGTCATTGGCAGAATGGCATGTCCTATCTGTTGCTGGGGGAAAGGAATCTGCCTCTGCAGTGTCTAAAGTAGGCCATGTTTATTTCAACTGGTAAACATTTTGATATCTCCCGAAAACCTTCCCATCTGCTGCACGTTTTCTGTCGAACCGCGCTGGCATAGGAAAGGAAAATAGATTAGGTCGAGGCAGATCGCAGCCTCTCGATAACTTCCTGTACGCACGGTGTTAATGTGAGAAGCACATATTGGCAGTAATTTGATTAAAAGTATGAAGACAGTGGAATAAGTTCAACCATAGTGGTTTAGTGCACTGATTGAGTCTGTGTGGAGCAAGAGGTGTGTTAACATTAGAACCCAACTATGCCTCTTCCAGCCATGCGGCGTCAGGACTTTCCAACGAACATGGAGAGCAGTTTCGACGCGAAGACCAACATGACAACTCAACCAGTCTCCCCCCAAATACCGTGTTATCATATAATGTTTGAAGCAGCTTATGAAATCCAAAGCTGTGGTTGCCAACATGTCCATGCCAGCAATGGACAAGAACTACTTTATGTACTTCAAGTCACGATCCTGATATTTAAGACCATGTGCCTGTAAAGCAGAGCATGACAATAGGGATATCATATGACCTGACTGAGATAAAATTGACAAGGCAGGACTGACTTGGTTACTGAAAGGAACGGTTTTCGGGAGAGCCGGATAGAGTTCATCTTGCTCAACGGTACTAGTGAGTAGGTTACCCGTGACAACTGAGATCTGATGCGCTGTCCCTTACAAACCATTCATTCCACAACAGCTTCTGCCCTTTCTGGAACATTGACATGCAAATAACTGTAATGGGATATTCAACCATTGCTTAAAGAATAAATAAATAAGTAGTAATCTACATTGAACTCTGAGGGATCACAGCAGTGATATTAGGGGCTTGGAGAATTTGAACACTAGGCATGGCATTATTTTTTTTTTTCTCCTCTCTCTCGCTCGCTCTACAAACTGACAGGTAAATTCTAATTAAACCACTTGACTTCTGTCAAGACAGATCGGGCCCTCTGGCTTCACAATCGACTCACCCAACTGCTCGTGTAATGAGCACAGAATTGCTTTGTAACACAACTAATCAGGCCTGTCTTTGGTCGTCTGTGAACAAATGTGGAGGCCGTCAAAGGCATGTCTGAGTTATGCCCTCACACCGGCTCGTACAATGAACCGTCACAGTGATCTGTCTTTGGTTTCCTCCCACCTAATTGAGCTTGATGAGCACGACACCTGATAGTACGCCCTCCCTGGGATTCTCGCCATCTCAATACCCCTCATGACAGCTCCAGTCAAAGATTTTGTAGAACAATTTGGTAAAGTGCCACACCGCCCTGTCTCATGTTACACAAAAAACTTTGTAGGGGCCGATGTGTGCCAGTTCACCTCCGCCTACACCAATACGGGGGTTTTCATTACTCTGAGAGATTGTGCTTAACATCTTTCCAAATCCACTATCCATTCAGTGCATGATCACTCTTAAACCAATTCCGCTCTGAAGGTTGGACTTGAGAATGGAAGTGGGACGGGAATAATGGCCGATGTAATCTGCTCATCTACACCATTCAGTTTAACCTCACACAGCCAGGGAATAACAATTTAACTGCAAAAGCTATTGGGGTCCCCAACCACCATGTAGGCAAAAAAGGGGTCGGGGACCCCTGGAGGTAGAGAACATCTGATCCCGTCCCGGGGCTCTGCAGCCCTCTGGGGGCTCTGTCTGGGTGGCCAACAGGCCCATGCATGATAAGGTGGAGGCTTGGGTGTGAGGGGGATTAGATGTGCAACTGGCTCAGAATTTAAACCCTCATATGCAAATATACCTTAAGCCATTTTAGTAAAGGCTGGTAGAAAAATAGAAGAAGAAACTAATCCGGTCAGTCATAATTTGTTCATGATAGGATTTTAAAAAACGTCCATTTCACGATGTGCTTAACTCTCCAGCATACATCACAAGTAAAACCCACAAACAAGGTTTTCCTTACAGGGAAATATATGGTTATGGATTTACTCCATCTTTCAACATAAAGCCATTCATTAAAGCAAATGGCCAACTCTCAATTCAGTTGACAACGGGACAACAAGCATGTAAAGGGGCCTTTATGCTTTTTGTCACTGCCTTCACTTATCAAGCCGGAGATCTGTGCTCTTCAACCCGAGTCTCACATTTCTCGCCCCCCCTGTGTGCGTTTCCTATGCGCGCAGTCGAGCCTGACTGGACCGACGCTGCAGAAATCGGACCAACTTCCAGATCGGGTTGAGTCCCTTCTTCTTAAACAGGGTAAATTTGTGTTCAGGGGAAGAAAAAGAATCCTAAGCCAAAATAAAAGGTGAAGAGGCAAATCCATTTCCTTGTGCTGTCAAACAATCCCTTCATTCACTTCTATCTAAATGACATTTAATTTGATTCTGCTGTTGACTCTCTGATACCCTGAGTGCTTCCAAGACGTCTACTCTTGCTGTCGTGTCACACCGGCCAGGTAGGAAGCGGGAGAAATCTGATGAGCCGTCACACAGCATCACGCACAGGAGCTAAAGTGTGTGCAACACACCCACACACCCACACACACTCTCGCTCTCTCGTAAATGGTGGTAAACATCCTGAAATAAAACCACAGGTAGCAGGTCTGATTTCACAGGATACACCAGGTCATGTGAGACAGTGGTGGAAATACAAATTGAGTTAACACAAAGACTCCTAAACCTTTCACAGTAGTTCACCTGTTTAAGTTACCTTCAAAATCCCGCTAATCCTTTTCCGATCAATGGAAATTGTCAACATATATTACTTTTAAATACGATTTTATCTCCCGTTATTTCTAACGTTAAGTTCATTCTGTCGTGTTTGTTATTCAGTGTTCAAAAGCATGCGTTGTGTGCAGGCAGAGGGTAGTAGTCTTCTATTTAAGAGATGGATATAAATATCTAACTGTAAAGTTACATTATTTAAGCTCATTAAAGCCATGAATTAAGAATTGTGGGACAAATGATTAACTTAATGAAAAGATAATTAAATAATAGAATTACGGTAAAGTAAAATCAATGAGATGCATGCAAACATTTCAGATGTCATTGTGCAATGTGTGAAGAATCTGCTCTCCAGCTGAAACTAATCGACGGGGCAGAATAAACCCTGATCCAGACATTCCAGCGACCACAGGGTTACACCAGGACATTAGCGGAGCCTCGCAGAGGAATTAGCTCATTAATGTAATAGTAACAATATGGAATCAGCCTCCCCGGGGGGAGATATGGCAGGAGCATCTCCGCAGCCGCCTTTTTTTTGTGAATCACTCAGCTTATCTGGTAGGAGGAGGTGATCAATACGGCAGCATTGCTGTAAACAGATAATGTAGCGCACTCTGGGGCGAGCGTCTACACAGCAGCCCATTAGGCCACACAGCCATCCAGATGATTGATAGTGATAAGTAGACAGACGGGCTTCGTCCTTGTGTTGCATCTCGTCACCCACGCCCAACTACGCTGGACTGACTGAGGTGCATCGCAAGGTTAAAGCGTGACCTCTTCTGCACTTTACAAGGTTTACAAAACATGAAAAAATAGACATTGGTAGAAATAAAGAGCCTTTTTATCTACACAAGTTGAAGCCTAAAGCTGTGATCTAATAACCAAATTGAGTTATCATGGTACACGCTGTTATAATGTACATAAGAGAACATCTTGCATACAACATATGTGGTCAGCATGAAGGTCTCCACGGTGCTGGATTGACGTGTTCTTCGAGGGTTTATCTCCGGTTTAGCTCTCCACGGTCCAGCAGTAGCAGCAGCACAGGTTGAGGTGAGAAGCGAGGCGGTGAACTGAGGTATTGAGCTGGTTTCTAAACAAGCTACTGAAATAACCTATTAGGCCTTAAATATACCGTAGTGTGACTACTGTTAATCCCATGCTGGGCTTCTGCAGAGAAACCCGTCTAGCCATGGGGGAAAGGTTTGGATCAAGACCATTCGTTCATAGCGATCTAGAACTCACTCCCCAGTCTGGATGGGCTGGTGTGCAGAGGATAGAAAATCAAGTGGAGGATTTCCACCTCCTGTTCCATCACAACGTGACAAGAAGATGCTGCCTGAACTTCGGCTAACACAGCGACATCCACGGATGTCCAAAACAAACGCTTTGTGCCAGAAGACAGTCGTTCCATTTAAGATAATAACATTTCTTTAAATTCAGAAGTCTCATAGAAATTCCCTCAGATTACAATGATTGAAGAAGAGGGAGTAGAAGAAAAAAAAAAATCAATATGCATGTGATGCCCTTTAAAAGCCTTATAAATATAAGAAGCATTTGTCCATTAGCCGAGATTCAGAGACCAGTAAATGCTAATGAATGGGAGTGCAAGGCCATTCGAGTCCATTACAGAGTCCCAGTAGTGAGCACGGCAGCCTCTCTGAGGTTATCTACTGGCAGGCCATGCAAACACCAGACCCACCAATCAAAAATACTCCGCACTCTAAATGATAGATGGAACACACATGGTTTTTGTGTTTCGAAAGAAAAGAATGGGCACAAAGTACGTAAATGGAAAAGCTCTCAATTCCCAAAAGGGCAGCGGTGTTACTCAATGATACATTGAGGATATTTAGATGCAGTTTTAAAGTAACATAAAGTTGGTTAGTTGAGACTCTCTCACTGACTTTGAGCAATTGCAAAAAATAGAAATGAAGAAGTCTGTTGTCAGTAAAGTCACAGAACGGATATTTGAATATAATTTGCTGGGAAGGACCAACAACTATCTGAGGCTTTGTGAAAAAATAGCTCGGAGAAGCCTGACAATAAGCAGTGCTTAGTGTACCTGTACTTTTAACTGTGGCAAAAATATGTTTATCTATCTATGGTAATTAAAATAAAATTCCTGAAATAAACACTATGGGTCAACATTTAACTAAAGAAAAGATGTGATCATACGTTTGTATTTAACACAAAATCGCAAGGAACATTTGTCAATGCAGAACCTCACTCCTCACCTGTTTCCATCCCTGCAATGACACTAAATTTAGACACACACATAGTCAATCTAAAGAACAACTGGTCAGCGGTTCAGAATCAAACGGTCTCGTTTATAAGCTAAAGAGACAGCTCACCCTGCTGGCTTGAAACAGAACCTTGATTAGGTCATTATGATGAACTTAATGGCCGAGCAATATATTTTATTTGTATTCGTTTGGAGCTGTGTGTTAAGATCATGGAAAAGTATCCCAGCAGACCATTTACTTCCATACATTCTCTGCTGTGCATCATTGCGTCAATTAAAAGGTATTTTAATTTGGTAACAGCACTCACTTGAGAGGAATACGAGGAACTGCGTTGGGTGTAGAGGAAGCAGCGACGACCTGCAGAATTTGTTCCAGAGCCGTCAGGCCGCCGCCTACTTGGAAGGCCACTTGGTCTGCATTGTTCTGTTGAGGCAAGGATAGAGAGGGAGGGGGGGAGAGATGATGGGGAAACAGAGGTACAGTCAGGGGACAACAAGCCACAGGCTGGACGGGGGATTACATTGCTCTCACCAGGGAGAGAACCGCTCTTTCTCCAACAGGGGCGAGGGATGGAAACCTAAAACAAAGTGATCCCAAAAGTATTCCTGTTCAATCTCAAAAGCGCACAACCCGACTCCGCCCTACAACAGCGGAGTTTCAGTGGAAGGAAAATGCTCTGCAGGCTCCGGTTAGCACAGGGGTGGTCTCAACGGATGACCACAGACTAAGTGAAACGGAGAAAATGTCAAATGGCCAAAAAAAGAAGGAGGCAATTAGAGAACTAAAATGAAGACAATCACTCTAATCGGATGGCTTACTGAAAAAAACATCTCTTATCATAATCAAGCGTACTGGGGTAATAAAGCAGCAGCATATACATTATTTCAACTTTTGCGTCGGCATTTACATGGATTAAAGAGCTTGGTGATCCTTTTCAGAGACTTGAACTGTTCACCCTTCAACACTATCCTGCCTAACATGCCTGCAAAAGAGCTCCTCAGTTCTACTTACTTTAGATCTAAACGTTTTGTACTGACTTTTCTTAAAACATCGTTTCAGTGTGTTTAGCTAAATGGTCCAATGTCAGAGTGGTGCTTCGGCTCTAATAGCCTTCTCAAATTCTGCTTTTCTCCTTGTGGTGCCCGTTTAACATTAGGCTGCAGCCTGCATGCAGACAAAGGTTTATCAGATATACACGAGGGGTCAACAGTGAGGAGGATAAGTCATTGAATACATTATTTACAAAACATGAAGATTCATTTTCAGAGGTGAACATCAGGCAAAGGCATTATTTGAATCAGTCACGTTGACCATTTGTGAATAAAGTCACCTAAGGATTATACTTAATGTCTAAAAAAAAAAAAGAGGTCATGTCATGCTACTATGTAATCATTACTATTCCTTGTTGGTTAAGTCCATTGGTTTATGTTGTTTTTAAAGAAAAAGTTAAACCACTAAAGTAAGGGGGAAAAAAAGTCAGTCCGGTACTTGAGATTTATGAACACATGTAAGTAGTTAGGTCCTTTGCTCCTGTGATGATAGCGTAATTGGCAGCAGGTCAGATGCTGTTGCCACGGTGTCTTATAAATCAACAAGTACAAAGACGGCAGCGAGCGCCGACTATCCGGCGTGTTCTTCTTTGTGCCTTCAACATGGGAGGAAAGGAGCTGGAGGCGAGCTGCTGATGGAGGGGCCTTCTTCACGCAACCTGCAGAGGCGCCGCGTAACACTGCAGGTCACTCCTACACTTAATGAGGTTACGGGCTCCTCAGCGCCGTGACAGCACAAAAACATCCAGCCACTTCACAGCGCTTTTGTTCCACGCATGGGAAGTCGCCAACAAGCCTGAACACATCGAGGGAGATGTTCTTTACTAAATTACAGATAAGCTCTTCATCTGTCATTCATTCCCGCTGCAGAGACAACTGCTCCTCGATTCAGGTGTTGCACACAGTTCCCCCCCCACACACACACACACACACAAAACCTTTTTAAACACACCAAAGACGGTCTAAAAAGTCTCCACAGGGTTCGTGAAAAGACATCATTATGACAGTATTTCTGTACGCAGCCAGCAGTTTCCCTGCCCAATCAATAGGGTCTCAGTCACTGAGCTTGGCTTAACCCCTCTCTTAACCCTCCCATCAACACACCTACCTAAAAGCTTCTAGGCTAAATGAGAAGAGGCAGCTCTTTCATAGCAGCTTATCAAACGGTATTAAAGGGGGTAACCGGGGCCTGCCCAGTCCTGGCTGGGTTTCTTGGCTAGTCGGTGACTTTTCTGCCCCGCTGACAGATTTATCTGTTGAGATGACAGAACAATACGAACAATACGAGTGAAGAGGATTAGGTTCAAACTACCTGACATACTATCTTCAGGTGGTCTCTGCATGCAAAGGTCGACAGAAAAGAAAAAAAAGAAAAGACAAAAGCAAGCAGTCTTACTGTCTTACTGTGAGGACGCACGTCTCGCCAAAAACACGTTTAAAGTAAAGGTTTGTTTTGCAAAACAGCTCTGAAAGTGTTGATCTTCTTGCTGTGCAACAAAGTTGACTTTCAGAGCAAAGGGGAAACAGCATTTGGTGACGACCTGTGCTTCATAGAAAAAAAAACAATGGAAGGGAAACCAGACTGAGGTGGTGTATTTAAATAAGGTTACAGTGCACGTATCCATCGTGCAAGCTGAATTTGTTTTCAAACTTTATGAAGCAATGGCACCCAGTCTTCTCAAACGGATCCCCAGAAACAGGTAGTTGAATAGTTATCCGTTACCTCCCCGTGCATGGAGACTAAGAACAAAACAAAGATCATTGAAGCATAAGTCGCTAACTAATCCTAAAGGAATCCTAAGGTAAATTTTACTACTTAGCCTTGGAAACCACTTGCATGATGTATTCGGTCGTTAGTGACATACTTAACTGCTTTTTAAATAGAGGCTAACCATTAACCGTTCAAATTCTTTGTGCCAAACAATGTCCAAGAACGTCAGAATCGCTCTTCTCAAAACACATGGATTAAATTCATATTGTGACTGTGGGTAGGAGAGTGTCCCTTTAACTTGCATTCTGTCGGTCCTGGTCGCACCCCAACAGAAGCTACAACAAATCACAGTAACAAGGTTAGCAACTAGATTTCCCTCAAACAGAAAAAAAAGAAACCACTAAGGACTGAGCATTAAGACAGAAGCGAGGAAGACACTCCTGAATAATACAACAGCGGGAATCTTATCCAATTATTGTCCAGGGTGACCATTGTTAGCCCAGCTGATGTGAGGCCAGAAGCAGCTGGTGATTCTTGCGACAGTGTCCACAGACCAGCAGAACCGCCAGATTGCACTTCGTAGGCCGGACAATTTAATTAAAGCAGAGCGGAGGGCACAGCCTCAGTGCCGCCCCACCAACAGATGGACAACAACTGGAGGAGTTCATTAAGAACTGCGTTCATCTTTAATCTGCACCTTCAAATCCGGAGTTCACTCCTTCACAACTAACACAGAAGAGACGGATCGTCCTGTCCTCAGACGGGTTCCGTCGTTATACTGGTGAAAAAAAATAATAATCTAAAGAGAGGCAAACACATGTCGGTCGGCCAAGTCCACGGTGAACCACAACAAGGCTGCTGGAGTAAACATTTTAAGGTTGAATATAAACATGTGTGTTTACATGGTTCAGTAAACCATGTGAATGCTGAGCAAACACGGAAAAGGATTATTCCACAAACTTTGTTCATCCAATAAACTGAGCTAAGATTAATCAAAAGCGCAGAACTAAACCCTGCCACAGAAACCACAGGCAGACTCTAGTTGTAACTAATACACCAAGAAGATCAGAACCATTTCACTGCCTATTTGTCTTGCGGTGAGGAAACAAACATGGCACTGTTGCAGAAATAAATAAAGTCTACAACGAGAGAATAAAGATACTTAAGAGTGGAAACTTAGAGGTTTTTCCAATAAATCGTTAAGCACGTTTTTTTATTTAAACATCAAATTACTCAAGAACTATGGTAGCCTCCATTATACTCATACATGTCTGACAGTATTAGAGATGAAACAGAAATTCTGTTAAATTAAAATAAAAATATTTTATTACTTATTTGATCAATAATCCCATCTAAGTGAAGGAAAGGTATTTTTATTTTTAAACATGTTTAGCTAAAGGACGTAAATATACCGCAAATCTGCAAACGTATAAATGTTGATGAAACAAATAAAACTAAATCATGTCAGCCGAATAAAAACATTGTAAAAAACAAAAACAAAACAAACAAATTGATCCATTAATATAATTATAATAATATCAGGATCGATGGTTTTGAAAAGCTTTGTTCATGGTCAATGACAAACAAGAAATATGTTTGTTATTTTTATTGGCAAAAGACATAACGCGATACAAAGAATATTTTGCTTCTAAAACTTGAAACCAAAACTGAAGAGCACGTTGCTCACTTCTGCCTTCTGGGACGCGGTTCTGAACCTGCTGCTCTGGGCTGCATCTGTCAGTCTGCTAGAGGCCCAAACAAGAAACCTTATTATCCTGCCACCCTGGCCTTCACCTTCCCCCATGTCCCAAGATACAACGCCAACCAGTCCGCCTGGTCAGCCCGACCGGGCTCCGACAGCTGGCAAAAGGACAACGTCAGGCCTTCTCAGAGCGCTGCGCTCCTGACACACTACATGTTGCTCATGTTGCAGTGAATTGACTGAAAACATCGGTAAACAAGTATAAGTGCTCTGCAATAAGGCAAGAAAAAGAGCAGATAATTGGGACAATTCATATTCATAAGTATAGAATATACGAAAGAATAGAATGGAATAAAAATAAAAATCAGGTTAGACACAAAATAAACCCGTCGAGGCCTCAGAGGGAGAAACGCGCCGGGGTCAGAGACGTAGCCTAGAAAGCAGGGACGGACTGAGGGGGTGGGACCCGACAGCAGTGCAGGAGGGGGTGTCGGGTGTTGTCTAAGGAATTAGTAGAGAAAGTGGAGACTGAATCAGATATGAGGGAGAAAAAACAAATCTCTAGATGAGTCAATGACATGAGAGATGCTCGTTAGGTCAAACAATCTAAAGGGTCCTGACTTGATGTGACTCAGGGGCCAGACAGCCATGCTGACGGAGACTCTATTTATTTGACTTTGTCCAGGGATTACGGAGGGAAGTGCTCCCTCGGCTACCTCACGAGCCAATCACTTTGCTCCTCTCAGCTTTGGGTGGATATTTCTCCACGAAGCTGGTGAAGCAGAAAAGCACAAATCTAGCTTTTTGTCCCGAGGTACAAAGACAAAGCAAAAGGCACCCGAACGCAGCACCCTCTTTCACAGCGACACCACTGTTCAACAGAGCACATCTACTGTGGCCCACTGACCTCCGACCTTCCCCTGGGACTGTGTGGAGCGGAGGGGAGGAGCCCTCACATAGTGACAGCTTGTGAGCTACTCACATCACACGGCTCTCCTCCTCCGCTCTCTTTACAGGACGCCGCGCCACCCACCTCAGCCACTTCTCTCTCTGCCTCTGGGGAAATTGGGTAATAGCCTCTCCAGTCGGCCCCCTTGTCGCCGATGGGACACCATAATCTCTCAATCCTCACGCCCAGAGGCGTGCACAGCGAGATGTTATGATGGCTCGAACCACAACTTGGCAGGAAATTTATGCCTCATTACAGGAAGTGGGCTGTATATTCACTTCATCATAAACACTGTGGCAGGTGTTTTAATATCTCTCAGGCTAAAATTGATGTGAGTTTTACTGTAAAAAAAAACAAAAACAAAACATGCTTGCTAGACACCCTCTGTGACAGATGTTTCAAATCGACTTCAGTTATAAATGTCTGCCATTGTATACATTTAAACAGCTGCATCAGAGAAAAGCGAAAAGCCAAATCTATGGCTTGGCTTTGTTCAATAAAGTCTTGTGAATCCCTGGCATTTCATCTGGAAATCCAATTGATCATTGTCTAAACCAGTGACATCTGAGTGGTGCGAGCCGCGTACACACGAGACAACACTCGCTCTAGTGCTTGGAAGCGTCTCTATTGGTACCATGTGCACAGTGAAAACACAGTTAATCTGGTCTTCATTAGCCAATAACCAAAGGCAAGTTGGTTTGGAGTAAGTGATACTCTACGTGGGGAGGGTGAGACACGGAGCGACATACCCAAACACAACTCATCGCGGAGGAGACATGCCAAAGGGCTGGCATGACCTGTGCACACCGCTGAGTGGTAGACAAGCAAGGATTGAGATGGACGGTAAAAGGAAAGTAACAGGTTGGTAACAAATATAGAACCGATATCTTGAAATAACAATCACCACGCTTATGAAATCTGCATCCGACACGTTCACACTGTATCCATGGAACAGATTTTCTGGTCTACCTCTCTTTCCAAGATGCGAGACATCTCTCCCAGAGTTCTGTCCAGGCCCGACATTTTGTTGTTGGCGCTCTGGCCGCCGTCCTGACCCTGCAGCTGCTTCAACAGGTCCTTCACCAGCCGCTGCAACCTGAACATACGAGAGCCAGGACATGTAGAAAAGCTGCTCCCAAGTGTCCATCCGCTTCAGCCAACTATGCATGACGGAAGAGATGAAACCCTTCGTGCATACAATTAGAAGCACACTAAACACTTTTTTATGATTTAACCCTTTTTCATGGAAATATATTTTTTTAAAAGGGCAGTTTAATCTCATCAAATGTAAAGATTTTGAATCTGTAACTATTTGGATAATTTTCTAAGCAAAATGCCTAATTCAGCAAGGTCATGTTAATATTTCTTCAAATATATGGGAAAATAGTTAGCTATGAATATACCATGCAGTTTGGGTTCTATTAAAACGAAAACGATTGGCAATTGCCGCCCTACACAGAGGCTATCATCATCAAGTTATCAAAAATGAAGAAAGCGTATCAAGCTATAAATAATTTAAACACTCACTTGGCCTTGTACGGGGAGTCAGAGACCGGTGTCATTGCCTGTATCGTGCCAGTCGTTGACTTCTCGTATTCCTTCGCTCTGCAGAAGGAAAAGTAGGAGAAAGTCTTTGAATAGCAGGAAAAAAAAATGTTTGCCCTGTCAGTAAAGAACACAAAGGATGAAAGTGTGAAGAGAGTTCAAACTGAGTGTGTTTATTTGGCCTGTCAGCCGTCCACCAAGTAACTTGGCTTAAAATAATCAGACACCAGCTCTGTGGGGACGAGCGTTTCACCGCCGTCCATATTACGAAGAGCGGATTCTCCCTCTAAAACCGGCCGTTTTTGGGAGCTATTTTCTAACAAGGGAGGCTCAAGTTCTTCACTCATTCTCAAATAAACAGTTGAAGGGGGTTAGAAGCAGTGTTTTTGAATGCCTGACCTTGTAAAAGGTCATAGTCATTAGGGGACCGGTATCTAGGGGGCACTACTCCAACAGCCAGACTCGGAGAAACACAAACCCTGTGCTCGTGTGTGGAATTATTGGGTGGGCGATTCTATCCGTCAGTCAGGTATTCCCAGACACGATAAGTAACTATTGATCAGAGTCAGATTGAGCGCCTTCCGGGTACCCGTCTCCACACAGATAGGATCGAAAACTTCCCGGAAGACGACAGGTGGATTATACGTGTACGATGAAGTATTTAGAGATAGTAAGTTTGTTGTTCCGTGGTTTTGTATCTATAGAGGTATCTCTCTAAACAAGACTACAAAAAGTACCACAAAAAAGCAAGACCAGACATATAAAAGGTAATAAAAAGAGAAAAATAAAACGGCTCACTATTACTGCATCACAAATCAATCTCCATAAAGCAGGTTGTGACAGTGGATATTAATATGTAATCTTTTTTTCTACGTCCGGTGAGTAGCATGTAGTCGTAATGAGTAACACAGAGTTGTTTTGTAATGGGAAAATGATATGTGACCCTTTTAAATGCTTCATTTGTATAACCAGTTTATTAGTTGCAAGTGCTTAGGTCACAAAGGCCCTGACATAAGAACTGATGTCTCCCACTTGGATTAGATGTTTCCAGCGTCATAGCTGTAGAGATTGAACAAAGTGTTTGTTATGTCTATGACCACCTTTGTTTTTGAATGTTGGGAGAGCAGGGACACGGTCAAAGAACTGACGTGTCTTACATGGATAAGATGTTCCCAGTACCCTGGCTGTAGATACTCAACAAGATGGTTAACGGTTTCTGTTGACGGCACCGATATCTAAATTTAGGTATAAGAACTGCCTCGATGTGTTGGGAAGAAAAGGAGGTTCTTGACAGTCTACTGACCACGTAGCTGTTGTGACCCTTTTTCCCTTGCAAGGAAATAAACGGAGAAAAGACATACTTGACTCAGAGCCTTTGTTTCTTACTTAACGATTGTCTGTGCAAAATCTTCTACCACAGTTTTCAGAAGGGTGTGAACTATATATCCGCCCCGGTGTATTATTCATTATATTAAAATATCAATATCAGACAGGTTTATACATAAAAAGGTTAAACAGCGAGCAATTCATTGCTGTCAAAAGCAGCCCGCAGCAATAAATATAAAAAAATTGAAAGCACAATTATATAAATCAATTCAAGCAGTTTAGAACACAACAGATCTCAAACCAATTTTGCCTTTTTAGAGACAAAGACATTATTCAAACTGCGACGCACAGACGCAGAAAGGACACCGGTATTGGTTCACTGGCAATAAATAAATGAAGAGCCTACAACAACCAACGGTTATACTAATACTTCAATAACTCAATGCGCTTGAACTCCATTTAGCTTCCATGTGCATTGTTCAGAACGTAAATTAATTTACGATTTAATCTAGGGTTCCAGACGGGAATTAGGACCATGCTTACCACCTCATACTGTTTACCGCTGTGCCTACAGGAGGTTCCTTGTATGCACGCACGCACACGCTACCAGCGGCCGGTTACAGACACACAGCTCGTACCAGAGCGTAAGCGGAGACTTTGGTTTCCAAGTTCAAAACCCCTCCTGACACTAACTGACAGACCTCTTACGAGAAAAGTCAATAGCATGGTTTTTTTCCTTCCCAAAGCTCTGCGTATTATTAAAAAGGTTAGCCAAACCGCAAAAAAAAAAAAAAAAAAAAAAAGAGAAAGAAACTCGAGTTAAAACGTGTGTTTGCCACTATGTGACAGAGCGGCACCACGCGGCGTTCCAATGAGACGCCTCATTTCCACCCAGCGGTGAAGCGGCTCACCTTTATGTTTACTGGGGCTCTGTGTTATTTATGACCTCTGAAGGCCTGCAGCCTGTGAGTGCTAGTCTCAGCAGGGTGACGGTGAACAGAGACGGATCATGTTGTCCCTCCCTCAGTAGCGCGGAGCCTCACAAAGGCCAAAGCAGCAGCGCTGAGAGTGTTTCACTGTGGCAGCTTCAGTGTTTCAGCCTGGAGGTTCCCCTCCTTCCTCCCCTTCCACTTTCTCCTGAATAGCCTAATAATAATTAATGATCTATTCCTTCACTCACACTTACGTTTGACTGCAATGGAAAGGGTCGTGAACGCTAGATGGACGGCACATTAGAAGTGGGACACAGCTGCTTAACAATCCCTCTCATTGTGTTTCTCAAGTGGTTTCTCGGCCACCGGCGAAGATTGACAAAGGCCATATTTTACTTTATGCCTCTGCTTTTGGTTTTTAGGATACAACATATCGTCTTTAGATGGGTCGTCTTAAATATTAATGTTTTTCTGTTTGTGGTGGACTACCTCGAATAATCTGATTTATAAACATTTTACAGTAAGTATTGTCATGATAGTCAAACTGACCAGGCTCGGGTCCCGGTTCTGACACACAGCAGCTACGCCTATTTGTTGATTACTATGGATTTTCTTTGATACTTCATTTAAAAATCAATAGCGCCGAAGAAGAAAAACAGGCATGGCTCATACATACTTTAACATACTTCCTGTACGGAGGTAGGCTTCAGATTTGGCCATGCCAGGGCAGCAATTTGGCGGAAAGCTCTTTACAGGTGAAAGCCGGGGGCCCCTACGGATCGATGCGCAGTTCTGCTCCCCAATCGCAGAGAGTGGTCATAAATTAAGCTCATCAGTGTTACCTCGCAGACAGCCAGGATGCTCATAACATCTGCTTTCCATCTCCTTGTCACTCATAAAATAAAAGTCCGGGCAAACTTGTATCCTCTGTGCCACTGAGGATGCAGAGGAAGAAACAGGAAGAGAGAAAGAAAACGGACACATTACCTCGCGTTCATTCTGGCGCGGAGCTTCTTGGCTTTCTTCCGGGCCTTTTGTCTCTCTTCTCCGTCCTTTACGTTCTCAGAAGACACAGAGCTGTCCGTCACTATATCCACAATGTACTTCTTCAAGGAAAGGTGCTCCTGTAGTAGACACATTCAATACATCAGACAATTGTTATGGCTTTTACTGAAATAACCATTTCTGCGTGGAAAGGAAAAAAAAGGAAATAATTGCACTTTTAAGTGCATGTAAAAACAGTATATTTACAAAACATGAAATGCAATATGATGCATCGTTAAAGGGGGCAACAAACAAGGTCGGCTACAACATTATAATGCAGATTGTACATTAAAGCAAAGGATTTCAATACTTCCAACACTACAGACACAATTACTTTAAAGCAAACAGGAAGAACTTATTCTCTAAAATGACGATGAAAACAGAACAGCAACTAAAATTCCTGTTGAATGCCTTTCGGTTGAGGTTATACGCCTCAGATGTGCCCCTGAATACATTGGGTGACATTTAGATCCATACGGCTCAATAACACCATTGTATCCTGTAATTACCAGCAATGCTCTGCAGTGTTTACTCACCCATGGATATGCTAGAAGGCTGGAGGTGTTGCCTTTGGGATGATTTGGATATTTCCGCCAGGAGACGAGGGAATGTAACCCAATTTAAACAATACGATGCATGTGCAAGAAAGCAATTAACCAATTACGCTGTCATGCAGCCCCCACAGAGGGGGGCCTGCGTGGGACGCAAAACCCATAGGCCTAAAACCCCGTTTTCCAACAGTTATTGTTATTTTACAGACAAATATTCTTGGATTGTTTAATTTCTTGAAGGGGGCGGGCTACCAATTGTGTTGTCACACATTTCCATGCACAAATCAAATTATGATGACATTTGCGACGATGTTTGTTTATGATCCCGTTTTTTTTTTTCAATCAAATCGGATTATAACACACCAACACACTCCCAATGCTGCGAATTGGCCAATCATTGAGTTTTTGGGTGTTCTGTTTTATTGTTGTGCTCTTGGTAATGCATATTCAACATGAAGGATGTGTGTGTGTGTATTTGTATGCGCACACCTCTGCCCTCTACTCCATGACGCCACAGGTCAGTCATGACTCATGACGGTGCCTGTCCCTCTCACAGGAGCCAGCTATTCAGTAATCTGTCTGAGAGGCTATCCAGTGCACACGCCATTCACTTAATGGACTTTCTCAGTGACACATCCAAAGCAAAAACACACCGGTAACGTAAAAGGCAACTAGTAATAATGCTCACATGGAGACCGTGATACTGACAATGAGAGCAAATAAAGATATGGTAATAACATCCGTTTCCTCTTGCTGGGAGCTGAGACAGAACGGTAGAGGTTTTGTATTCTAAGTGTTTGAGACCAGTAGACTTCATGACACACAGGTGGGTTACCACTGAACCATTGTACCGAAGCCACTAAGAGGCTGGCCTCTGGGTATTGCCCCCCCCCCCGCATAATGCCACCGATGCCTCCAGTGGGAGGAACACGATATCGCTCTACACATCTCACCTCATCCCCGGCAGGAAAAAGGAACAATACAGATCTAAAAAAGGCTCCCACACAAACACAGATAACATACAGATAGTACGTTCATCCACGGCCTCCTTTGTCACATACAAACGCCTGAGAGGTAGGCTTTCTTTTTGGCGTGAAACAAATTGCTAAATCTTACGTTGGCAACTAGATAAGATGGGCAGTATTGAGTTACCATCCCTAAAGTGGTTTACATGACGTTTTTGTATTGAACTGCATACTAAGTGACATTTAAGCAAGGGGGGGAAGTCACTCCAAGACAAAAACATTAAAAAAACGATTCATCGGCTCGCTCTTTCAACAGCAGCTTCACCGTTAGAACTGGACAAATGTCTCAAAGCAGCGTGGGAGGGAGAGGCTCGCTTCAGCTGGCCGTCTGGATATTTCATCAGGGTTCTCAATTTTGGGGCCATGAGCGCAGCTTTGGCTACGAGAACGTTAGCGGCACCGCTCAGTGCCTTTGGGAGGTCGGCCCTGATACCTTCTGGTGATCGGCTGTGTTTACAGAGCAACACAGACGGGCAAGACGGAAGAACGGTTTTCTTTTCCTGAGAGAGGGCTCTCGGTTTTCTTTTTATCTGCCGTGTCTAAAAGGTGATCAATAAATAAAGTCCTTGTGTCAGTAGTCACGCGTCTTGAATATTACCTTCACCATATTAAACCAGGAGAGATGGTGGACAAAAAGAGTAATTGCAATATTCAAGCTCGCTCCCCATCCATCGATCCTACCCGGCTGATCATTTTTGTGTTTTCAATTTAATACGCAAGTCAGAATATGAGGGAAGGACCAAATATGAAGGCACAGGGCATCTGTCGCCCGCTTCTGTTGAAAAACTACGGTGTGACCTCTGCACAGTAGAACCAACCATCTTCATTTTAATTAAAAATCTTTCATTGCAGGAAGAGTTATGGAGCCGCGGTCTGGAAAATAGTTGGCACTGGTACGAATAAAATGGTGGCCACCAAAATGAGGTTTGATATAAATAACAAGGAGCCACATAAGTCTATATAAACAAAGTATCCAGGCGCAGAGCTATTGGACAGCTTAATGTACTTTCACATAGAAAAAGAAAAGGCAGTTCTAGACATCTAGATGTCATCTGTTGGAGATTCTACACTGAAAAATAATCCAATGATAACTAGCAGGAGCAGAATAGGACACGGCCGACTCGCTTAAACGTTGACTGATTACTATTTACGAAAAGACAATATGGAAAGTGGAAAAAGAGTAAAGCCAACATTATGGTTATTGCTAAAACTGTATCATACGGAAAGACGGATTATGAATGTATATGAATTAGTGCAGTTTATAGTGCTTCTCCATGTTGCCTTGTTTATCACACTGTCAAACAGAAAAAATGACCCGCAATTTGGAAAGGAAATGATTTAGAGGAAAGGAAGGAGGGGCTATCAATTATTCCTTGCTGAAAAAAAAAAAGCTTTGAATGAAGGAGCTGCTGGGGCCAAAGGTGCTGCGTATAGTACCAACAGTTGTCAGCCTCACAATGAGCACCGCTGAAAAGCCAATCTCATATTGCAGCCTGAGAGGTTACCTTGCATTAACGAGCTGCCTTCCCATGAAGAAGCGCTCCATGGAGAGAAAAAAAAAAAACAGCCTGGAGACAAGGGTGTGATGTCACCCCTCCACTGATGCACTGAACCCTAACTGTGTGCATTTCAAGGCCCATTTGTATGCGCACAAAGCCAGAAACGGAGCCGCGGCGGTATACAAGGGGATGCATAAACAATAATAAAGGCCACGCCATAAAAGGCAACCACGGTGTCTCTTTGTCTTTTTAACGTGGCGCATACAGCGGTAATCTTCGACAGGATGAGTGGATGTTTGTTCCCGGCAGGGTGTGGGTGATACGCACCACTTCCTCGTCAGAGAGCTCCCGTCCTTGGATGCTGCTACTGTCTCGCACGGCCTGCTGGTGCCTCTTGCCCTTGGTGTGGCTGAACAGGTGCACCTCTGAGGTGATCTACAAACACAAACACACTGGTCAGAGGTCACTGCTGCGGACACAATGGAGACCGAGGCAGGAAAGGGTCAACAGAGTCCCATGGGATTCTGGTGAAACAATATACCCCATTGCCTTTTTTCCCCCTTCTCAATGGGACATAACCTGTGTCTCTCCCGAACCTCAATTTAAAGCAAAGACGTAGGCAGGGAAATGGGATGATATGTGAAACTTGGATATATGTTTTTAGAGTACTAATTGAGTAAAAGAGTAACGCTGGGTAAACCACTCAAAATAACAACTGGATTCAAAATAATATAATAATTTTCTTACTCATTCACGTATTGCCAAAGATCGCAACCAGTGCTGTTCTCCCATCTCGGGAAACCAGCCCATTTTAAATGGTTTGGGTTTAATGTCATTAAAGTGCTTGCTGCTGACCCACCCATGACCTCTGGTGTCAGATGCTGGCCAAGGTCATCCAACATTTTAACAAGATTCCCCGTTTGTCTTCCAACTCTCCTCTTTATCTGATGCTGGAAGACTCAAGGTGTCCCACCCTTGTTGTCAGGGAAGCCCGTCTGTCAGAGATAAATATGTCTGCTTGTGGGTTTGTTGCCCGGCACTCGAAAAAGAATAACCATGCCCAATAATAAATCTTTGTTTAATAGTCCGGGTTTTAAATCAATGCAGTTAAATCCTCATTTAAATGTGCCCTCTTCCAAAGACCCTCAGAATCACCTTCCTCCGCATTTGTGTGTTCAGTCCGCCAAACAAAATTGTTTGGAGTTTGGCCAGAGCTGTTGTGCTGCAGCATCCGTGTCTTTTTCATTTCTCCACACTCGTGGTGCATTTGAAAGTTATCAGGACGTTGTATTGTATTTAGGTCATGGGGGGGTTGTGCTGTGGATAAACATGGAGCTTAGTGACAGCGACATGGGCTCTGACAGGATGAACCTGTACATACCACAACGCAGCACAGGGAACACTGTTTCTTGCGCTCATAGGGCGTCAGTTTGGGGGCGTAGTCTGTGTTAGCATGTCGACCGCTGCTCAGCTCAGCGGCCTTCTCCTTCCTCTGCTCGATTTGCTCCATATGCCTGCGGCTGCTCTCGTCATGCTGAGGAAGGAACCAGAGCCAAAGGATCATATGGGAAACAGGGGGGTTCATTGGTGCCCAATGGTAATGTCATGATTGAAACGCACCTTCAGCTGTATTTTTTTCTGCAGCTCCTCCATGGCCTCCTGTTGTGCAGCGCTAAGAGCAGCCAGACGCTCTTCTCGATCCCTACAGATCGAGGAAATAGAAAACAGAGATGCAACAACTGTACAAAGAAATACAAGTGTCACAGTTATCAAAAGTGGTTGTTGTAATCAAATCATCCACCCTGCGTACACTATTGAATGGATTTGGGAATACACACCTGGCCCTTTCCCGTGCTGCATCTTCTCGAGCTTTCTCCTTTTCCTGCTTCTGCTGTTCAATACGAGCCTCCTGCTCCTTCCTCCGCACAAGCAGCTCCTCCACCCGGGCCTGCCGCTCAGCTTCAAGGACCCGTTTCCGCTCCTACACAGGGAACAGGCGATTTTGGGAAAGATGACCCCAAATGATACTTACAAGTGGAATTATTCCATTCAAATCGAGCGTTGGTTTGAATAACACCTGCACAGCCTCATCTCTGGCTTGCTTCTCCTCTTGTCTCCTCTGCCTCTCATCCTGCAGCTCGTTGAGACGTTGCTCGTACTCATTCAACTTGGCCAGGGCATCGTGCCTCTTGTTTTGGGCTTCCAGAGTGTTGATAAATGCAATTTCATTGACCTGTACAGACATTTACTTATCATTGAAGATATGAACACACAAATCATGTCAAGTAAACATAAAGTTTTATGGATTGAGTATTTAACATGAAAAATGTTGACTCTGCCTTCATTATGTATGCATTTAATTTAAAACATTAAATGTATAACTTCAACGGTCTCTACCTTGGCCTCTTCTTCTTGGGCCTTCTTCACAATCGCCTGGAGCTGAATCTCTCGCTTTAACTCTGCGTGCAACAGCTTTTCGTCCATCATCCGCCGACCCTGCTCCAACAACTCCTCCTTCCATTTCCTCACCTCCTTCTCCTGCAGAATCACAGACAAAGGATTCTCCATTTTTCAGTTTCTACCCTCACCAGTGTGTGACGAAGGGGAGTTATGATTTTACGTGGTGAGCTCTGATTTATTCTAGGTCTCAATCATCTTGCCACGGCTTGGCGAACGAAAACAAATGTCATGAAAGGCTGTTGCTTTTGGCCCGGCGGGCTCTCTCATGGCCGTCTGCGGCCAGCTGGCCTGGATGCGACTTTAGGGGGTTGTAATATTTAGTGATTCTATCAGGCGTGCTGACAAAACCTCTCCTTACGAGCCAGGCTGGGCTTGCACGGGGATTATTCAGGGTGCTTTCCGTCAAATCTGCACGTCTTGCGCTCACCCTCTCCAAGAGCTTCTGCAGTTTGAGCGTCTTTTCCTCCCGGAGTTTGTCCCTCAGCTGCTGCGCCTTCAGCTGTTTCTCCTCATGTTTCTTCTTTGACTCGGCGATGGTTCTGTCAAAAACATGGAAACAAATCATTCATCTCAACCTCCTTATCGACAAAGGCAGACATAGACTCTGGTAGGCACTAGGGCCTGTTTAGACGATCTGGGTGGTAACTCATAAAGAAAGTCATATGCAGTGAGTGGGCCTTTGACTCAGCCTGCTGGGTTAAATCCACGTCAAATAAATAGATATAAATTAAGGTCAGATGTGCTCAAGCAAGAAAATGATTTGCACCTTTTGCGGGACGGTGAGGACAATTTCTCGTGCATGTGAATTCCATGTCCGGGAGGCCGAGCCGGTTCTTCCTCCACTATGTCCCCCCATGAGTTGCTCTGACGCCATGGCTCCCGAGCTACAAGACGGACGGGGAAGCAAAGTGAACCGATCAGTGTAATGTTCGCCATGACAAAGAATAAGAGCCTGGTTTTCCCTTCAGGTGTTGACGTCCATACCGTCATAATCTGCCAGCATGTCGCTCCAGTCGATATTGACACCACCAACTCCATTGCCGATGCTAGCCTGTGGTAAACAATCGTGCCGTTTATAAAAACTTAAACAGCTGTTGAACTAGAGCGGTGCCAAACACGCATCAATGAGCCCAATCGATCTTACAGAGAAGTCACTTTCGTTGTCGGTCTCCAGTTCGCTGTTCTCGGCCTGAATCTCTCTGGTCAGCTGCTCTTCCTCGGCGATGGCGCTGGCTATGGCCTCCTCGTTGGCCTTCTCCAGCCGGTCCGCAAGCTCCTCCTTTTTGGCCAGCACCTCGGCCATGGACTGTGGCTGAACACATGGCACAGGCACAACCTCACACGTCATACATGTTGAGTATTGCTTATCTAGATAGAATTGCTTACATTATATCAAAAGGCAGTTTCAATACTTTTGCTTCTCTCTATAGATTGGCATTTTACGGGGACAAAATATTTGAAATCCTTTTGACTATAATTTTGAATATCACAACTAAAACCGAGCAGATGCTTTCATTTTTTCTCGTCAACTAACCCTAACCCATTTTTTAAATATCTTAAAACATCATTGAAAAATATTCAACGTTTAGCCCCTGTAATGCTACATTTTAGCCTCTGTGCAGTTGGTTTGATTTAAACCTTGATTGACAATCCAAAGACTGAGGGTAACACCATATCAACCCAATCACAGTTTGTACCACACAATCATCACAAGTGAGGAAGCATTCAAGAGTCATGCAGGGCACATTTACTGTGAGGATGATGAGACGGAGAAGGGAGGCGAGTGATGGTTTTGCACTAGAAAACACTAGGAAAAAGTATTTGGGGAGTCTTTAATGAAATGCCAATAATCAGCGGACGACTAACAGATTCCTTCAGAGGAGCAACTAGTGTAACTCAATTATAGAGCCCGCTCAACAGTATGTGTCTGTTACATGAGATATGCTTGGGATCAACAGTTTAAATCTTAAATTTGAGGCAAATTAATGAGATTTCTTTTCTTTTTTTGACAATTAGTTGAAATCTGACAGTATCCCACTTAAAGGTGTGGTCATCCTTTGTTAGTCATACAGAGCTCTGTGTTTACACGCTTCACGATGATTGATAATACTGACCTAATGTAAGCGGACCATTTTTGCCTGAGATCTGACGCTTGGTTGAACTGCAAAATCAGTGGGGGTTCCACGGCTTTTTTTTGCTCAGAATTTGGTAGTGGCCAACTGTTTTAGTTATTTAAACAATTTGAGAGATGAATTATTAGATACGGTTTTAGGCCACACCACAGGAGCACATGCTCACGTACAAAAGTCTACTCACAGCTATTCTTCACAGTGCGAGGCGCTATAACAACACCGCACAGAGCTCTGCAGTCTTTCCTGCACATTTGGACTGGAGATTTCTTAAGATTGACTTTGTTTTGGCGTTGAAGTACCCTGGGGTGATCCCTGCCCCCTCCTCCCTCCCCTCCTCCATCTCTCAGCACTCACAGTGGAAAGCTCTGTGGGGTCCGACACACTCTCCAGTTTCTCGGCTGTCACAGCAGTCCCAGCCTGTCGTGGAGCAGATGTGGCCGTGCCCTGCGACGCACCGCCCTCAGCCGCACTGTCCCCAAAGACCAACAGTGCAGCGAGCACGTCCGTCTGGGGAAGGCCTGGGGACGTTGAGGGGACCACAGCAGGGACCGGGACTGATAAGGTAATGTCTGTTGTTGGGGCTGTGGCTGAGGACGGGGCAGGCTCTGGGGCTGGGGCAGGGGGAGGAGCTGGCATGGGGGGAGGCACGTCTTCACAGGGTGGGTCGACAGACTGCCCCGAGTCCTGTACACTCTCGGCTGGCGGCTGCACCGACAGTCACACACACACACAAACACACGCAAACTCAATTAAAGACATGCATGTTTCAAGCAATTCATGTTGAGGAATAAAAAAAAATACATAAAAAAAAAATACGAAATCAAACCAATCAATACACAAAGCTGAAAACACAAATCATGCGGGAAAGCCGGTACTGACATGCCCTAAATATCCAATTATGATCAAACTTATAATAATGAATGTAGAGATGTAAATGATCAACTGATGGCTGTAACACACTCTTACCATGTGTGTCTTCAGCCATCAACAAAGTATTGATTTCGTAATAGTGAAAATGTGCTTTCTGTCTCTGAAATGCCAGTGTACAATCAATCGCCTTCAAGTTGATATGCCTGTCTGGACAGTCGGTCTATGAATAACCAAGGAGCCCAAAACAAAAACAAATGTGGCTGATAAAACGGGGTAGGGTTACTCTACGTCTTGTGAATAATTGATATCAAGGGACTGCTTTTGGAGAAAAACATCCCACGGTACTGAACCTCAGTACCTCCATCATGTTCCCGTTCACCGGACATCCAACTTCCACCAGGGGGTTCGGCTCCAAAGGGACTTGCTGCTCATCGTCCTTCTGGGTCGTGTCCTTGTTGGACGGACACACAGCGTCGATTGGTCGCTCCTCCTTTGGCGGCGGGTGTGACTGTTTACACTTGACGCTGTCCTGCTTCGGGGGGTCTTTAACCGGGACGGAAATGACCTTGGCAACTATGGCGGCAGAGCGGGGCTTGGCGGTACGTCCTCGCTGGACCGTCTCCCAGCCCTCAGCATCCTTTTTACC